TCGTTCATCTCCTCTGACAGGTCACTGCTTCGAGACACTTCTGGCGTACCTGCCTCGGCGCTTTTCTGTCCTCATTCCGGTTCGTTTTTTTTCCGTGAGCTTTTCCTGGCCGTGCACGCTGCTTCTCCCCTTACCAGCAGCCCAAATGCTCACGACGATGAGCTGGGCTGTCACCGCTTGGCCGCCGGTGGGGGGTTTGGGAGGCCGCACCACACACAGACACCCACACACTGCCTCAACTTACACGAACACACACATACGCAGACTCATTTCCACATGGACATAGATACACGCACAGAAGCCCACACACTACCTCAACTCACTCGACTTCACACTTCACACTGCACACTTAACAGATAACTCGCACTCTGACTTCCTACGTGATGAAGAATGCTTTCGGGCCACTCGTCGTCGCCACTCGTCGTCTAGTTTTCTTTTAAAATCTTTTAAGTATAACCTGAGCTCTAGGATTCCAACCAGCATATATACATATAGTGATAGTGATCTATAGTGGGTTGTCACACATTTTTACCGAGCGACCATGGTCTTACTACGGATGTTTGACTACAATACCACGTTCACCTTTCTTTTAAGGGTCTTGGCAGACTAGGGTGAATCCTTTTGCTCTGTGATGGAGGAGCATGGTTTGTTTGAGTGTACGGTAGCTTAGCCTTTTTGGAATCATGAGATGTTGACTCGAGCTTTCCCATCATACGGATACGCCAGCACACTTCGCTGATTCTACAAGCATGGCTAATTTTGTGCGGGCTTAGATGGATGAGTGCGCTGCTTCGAACCGAGCTCTGCCTACCAATCTCCTTCGCACCTCTCAAAGCCGGCCCATCTGATCATCCAGATCGCAGGAACTCCACCTGGCCTTGAAATCGGCTGGGCTCTCACGGGAGGTGGGCATCGAACCTGGCTCGCGACGTTGCTCGCGACGCGAGCGGCTAATGGGGGGGTGCCCTGCAGTGCTTTGAGCCTCAGCTAATGGGGAGGGAGATTCATGTGGAGCGCAGGTTTGATGCTCTTTTGTGGTAGGCCTTGTCCTGGTAAAGGTATGAGAGAGGCTACAGGCCCCTAAATGGGGAATTCTTCCAGCAAACTTTGATTTGTCTAAGACCCCCAAAGGTGCCAGAATAGATCAACCCCCATCACCACAAAATGACGGGCATGCATTTCTGATCACAGAACACAACGGAGTTCGTTTACTCTACTTCAAAGACAACATACCGGAGTGGGCCCCCTTTTTTTTGAGAGCTCTGTATGTCAATTCCGAAACAACTGCTCTTATTCAATTGGCACCATTTACTTGCACGTGCTTTCATCCATGAGATCAATGTTTTTGGATATTCACCACCTGGTTTTGCTGATCCAAATTCTGGCACAATAGCCTGCCATTTTAAATTTGGCACAGAAAGAATTTCACGGCGACAGTCTTGGAACTCTGTGCAATTATTTCTTTTTGGTGGGGTATAAAACAACCAAACCGGCTCCGTAGGTGATCCACCAACCACTCTGAATGGGCTTCCTATGTAGGAAGCCTCCCATGTTCGGGCTTCGACCGGTTTCGATCTCGGTCAGATCACTTCCGCTTCGTTCGACGTTCTTCGCTCTCCCGAAGAATGCTTCGATGGCCAGACGG